AGAGGAAAGACCAATCAACCATATCATAAGCTTTCTCCAAGTCCAATTTACACACAAAACCTTTCTTTTTCCCTTTTTTAAAATCCTCCATGCATTCATTAGCTATCAAAACTTGATCTGTGATCTATCTACCATTAATGAACATCCCTTGGGAATGACTTATCAAACCAGGAAAGACTAGCTTTAATCTTAAAGGCAACACTTTGGCCAAAGATTTTATAAATGCTTGTTACCAAGCTAATTGGTTTCAAATCTCTCGGTTGATTGGCACCTCCCTTATTTGAGATTAAGGCTAGGAAAGTTGAATTTATTCCTGGACTAATAAAGTGTTCCCTAGCAAACTCCTCAAAGACTGCCCAACAGTCCGTTTTAATTATCTCCCAAAAATCTTGATAAAGGAGCCAATAGTGAAACCATCCAGTCCCGGAGCTTTAGATCTATCCATTGAAAAGACAGCTCACCTTATCTCCTCCAAATCAAAATCCCTTTCCAACACTCTTGCCAAACCAGACTTAGTCTTGGCCAATCCAGTCCTTCCTGAGTAGAACCTACATCCTCTTGTCTTTTAAAAACTGATTTGAAATGAGCCACAAAATAATTAGCAATCTCTTCTTGATCAACCAGAGTTTCTCCATTTACGTCTAGTTTCTCTACAAAATTTTTTCTTCTTCTGTTAGCAAGTGCATGGAAAAATTTAGTATTCCCATCCCCCTCTTTGATCCACAGGTGCCTCGATTTATGTCTCCAACTGATTTCTTCCCTTAACAAAATTTCTTCCAATTCTTTTCTCAACGACCATCTTAGAGTCTTATCTTCCTCATTTATTGAACCTTGACTTTCCTGGGCATCCAAATGCTCAATTTGAGAAGTTACCAATAATTTGCTCTCCTCTATTCTTCCAAAATGATCTCTTTTCCACTCTTCCGTTTCACATTTAAGCCTTTGTAGCTTCCTATGATATTTTACACCTTTCCACCATACACCTTGCATTTCAGATCCCCACCATTCCTCTATCTTTTTCTTTTATCAGAAACAGTATCTTCCTTAAAGAGGTTTAAAATTCTGAATTACAGACAACCCCTAGTAGAAGAGGTTGGGTCAACAGACATGAAATGATGAAATTACAGCACTGCCCAATACAAACTCTCCCTTACAGTCCCTTGTTTTGCTAAGGTATCAGCTAAACCATTTACTGGTCTCTTTACCCACTTAAAACAAATACCCACCTCCCTTGTTATGCTTAAAATTTCCCTTATCATGTGTCTATGTTGCCAAATTCCCAGATGTCCTGATTGCATCCATTCAATTACCAATTTAGAGTCCCCCTCTATCTCAATTTGGTGTAGCCCCAACTGTTTGGCCATTCTTACTCCTTGATGTAGAGCCAAGATTTCCACTCTTAAGGAATCTCCAACTCCTACTAGACCTGAATAAAGAGCCATTATCTTACCTTCATAATCTCTGAAAACACCTCCTATTCCAGATGGGCCTGAATTACCTATAGAGCTTCCATCAAAGTTCAATTTTACCCTTTGTTATATAGGTCGGTACCAAATTTCCTGTACCACAGGTTTGGATGGAATTGTAGCTGCCACAGCACCCCAATTTCAATAAATGCCTTCAGCTAAGAAATTCTTAAACAGATCACATGATTTCAACCAATGGATGACCTTAATGGTTACTCCTTCCACTACCTCTTCTTTGGATCTAATTATCTAAACACACCTTTGAAGATCCTATTGTTTCTTTCCTCCCATACTGACCATAGCACAGCTGCTCTTGTGGCTCTCCACATAGTCCCCCCTTCTGTGCACCTTTGGTTGCCTACAAAAAGATGGATCAAAGAGGCTTACCACACTCGGGTGGGGAGTCCATCTGCAACCAAAGAGAGAGGAGAACCAAGACCAAATAAAGCACACAAAGGGACATGAGATTAGTAAGTGTGAGATTGTCTCACCATTCCTCTATCTTATGGACAAAGTTAGGGTGTGTAAGCCACATATTCTCAAACCTAAAATGTTTTGTGCCACTCGAAAAGTCTTTGGTTCCAATGCTAACCTGGCAATGGTCAGAAGTAACTTGTGATATAGCTCATGACACCGATCCATTCCAATGTTCTTCCCAATCTAGAGTGAAAATACATATATCCAACTTTGAGCAACTGGGGGGAATTTGTAAATTCGACCAGGTGAACAAACTATGTTGGGTAGGAATGTGGATGATGGGACCAACATTAAAGTTCTTCCCACATTTCACCTCTTTCTCTATACCTATTGGGTCCGTAGATATTCATAAACATTCAAGTAAACCCATCATCCACATTCTTGAATTTTAAGGAAAGTGAGAAACGGCCTATTAGTCCTTCCAAGGGCTCCACCATTTCAATCCTCCATAATGTTACTATGCCCCCGTCATGGGGTGCTTTCAGGGGATCCTCCCTTGGAAGGACCACTTATGGATCAAATTCTAATTGCCAATGAGTGTGTGGAGGATATGCAAAGAACAATGAGGAAAGGGATTGTGTGCAAGTTGGATTTAGAGAAGGCTTACGATATACGATTATAGTTGATTGGTCTTTTTTGATGCAAGTGTTGGATTGCGTTGGTTTTGGGGAGAAATGGTGTAAATGGATCTTGGGTTGTATAGAGACTTGTCATTACTCCATACTAGTAAATGGAAAGGTAGTGGACCACTTCCTAGCTATTAGGAGAATTAGGAAAGGGGACCCCCTCTCTACATTCCTTTTCACCTTGATCACTGAAGTGTTGGGGAGGCTAATTGACAAAGCATGTTCGAGAAGTCTTGTGAGGGGTGGAGAGTTGGAAAAGACAACATTCCTATCACCCACTTATAGTTTGTTGATGATACAATTCTATTCTGTAAGGGGGAGGATGTGAGATGGGCCGAAAACTTGAAGTTGGTGATTCAAGTGTTTAACAAATGTCAAATATGAAGGTGAACCTCAATAAGAGTTGTGTGGTGGGGATCAATATGGAAGAAAGAGCTATATTGGAGAGGGCTGAAGCTTTGGGCTGTACAATGTCTCAATAGCCACTGAACTATTTAGGGATGCCCTTAAGGATGGAAAGAGAGCTTTTGGAGCCCCATAATTGATTAAGTCTACACTAGCTAGTTTGTTTGTGTATTACTTATCAGTTTTTAGGATCCCAATGAAGATAAGTAGGCATTTGGAGAAGCTTATGAGAGACTTCTTGTGGGAACCAAGGGAGGAGAGGAAGGATCATAGGGTGAATTGAGAACTAGTCTCTAGGAGTAGGGCTGATGGAGGGTTAGGCTTAGGTAACATTCAGAGGAAAAATGAAGCCCTATTGGGGAAATGGTTGTGGAGGTTGGGAGGTGAGAGGGATAAACTGTGGGCTAGGGTAATTTTAAGTATCATGGTCAGGAAAATGATGGTTGGGACACTAGGACTTTGGCAAGGTCTGCCGGTGCCTCTCCTTGGAAACCTATACACGCCATTCTTCCTTCCTTTTAGCAACACATCAAGTATGACCTCTGCTCTGAGAATCAAGTAAAGTTTTGGGTGCAAATTTGGTTGGGTGAGATACCTTTGAAAGACCAATTTCCTTCCTTGTTTTTACTCTCCCAATTTAAGGGCAAGGTTGTGATGTTGTGTCCAGTTTTTTAGTTCCTTCTTAGTCTAATGTTGGGTTTGATTGGGATTTGGGGATTAGAAGAGGCTTAAGGGATGTAGAGGTTGAAAATGTCATGAGTCTGGGTTATATCTTAGACCGAGCGGTGTTGGATCCCTCTGAGAGGGATAAGAGACTATGGAGAGTGGACCCTAACTCCCTCTGGAACCTTCTCTTGAGCCTCCTTCTTCAAGTCTCTATTGCCTTCATCCAATCTATTTGCACAAAACCTTCCAGTTAAAGATGTTTGGGGTGAACCGATTCCTCCAAGGATTGGAGCCTTTTGTTGGAAAGCCTTCCTTGGAAGATGTAATACTTGTGACGTACTCTAAAGAAAAAGGCTTGTCTCCGAATTGGTGAATTCTTTGCAAGGCTAATGGTGAAGTCTCCTAGCACTTATTAGCTTCTTACCCCTTTGTTGCTGATCTTTGGGAATGGTTTCTTTCCTCTTTTGGTTGTAGGTGGACCCCACTGCAAACATTCAAAGTTTGTTTAGCAACTCAGTCTTTGGTTGGCCAGACAAAAGGGGAAGGATAATGGAAAGATGTGAGATGCCTGTTCTTTGCTAGACTCTTTGGGAGGAAAGGAATGCCAGGATTTTTTCTGAAGTTGAAAGAAATAAAGAAAGCCTTATTGAAGTAGTAATAGTGAAGATGGTGCACTGGCTGAAATCCTTGGACCTGTTTGTGAATATTTTTCGATGGATATGTTGTTGAATAGCTGGTTGAAGGTGGCAAATTCTGCTCCTGCTCACTCTTTAGCTTGTCCTGTGTGGTCACCACCAGGAAGTGGACTTATAAAGGTAAAGTTTGATAGAAGTAGTGAGGGAAATCCAGGTCCATGTGTAGGAGGGGTTTTTAGAGATGAGGATGGGAAGGTGCTCACTTTGTATTCAGGTCCCATTGGGGTTGGAGACTCCTAAAGCTGATGTCTATGCAGTAGTGGAGGGTATACGAAAGTCTAAGGAATTGAATATACAAAATTTAGTCATTGAAGGGGATTCAAAACTGGTCTTAAGTTGGTTACAAGAAGGTAGTGGACTTTGGAAATTTGCTAATGAGAGGAGGGAGATTAAATGGCTAACTAGAGGATTGGAAATCAAGTTTCAGTGGGTCAAGAGAACAGCAAATGCATTTGTGCTTTGGAAAAGCAAGGGGTGTGAAGGGATCAAATGTTTTGGTTTGCTCTGTAACCTTTTCTTTTTTGTTTTCTTCCTGGAGAGAGTTAAGCCTGTTTATCTCTCTGAAGTGTTGTATCTAAATTCTTTTAATCTAATGAATTCCAGTTATTAATCAAAAAAATGAAAATAGTAGAAACGAACAACAAGTACATTTCCATCCCACCCACCAGATTGTTGCAGGCTGATGCCACATGAGGATCCCGAACGCCAAAGCCTTGTTTAGCTTCTTCTAGTGCTGACAAAAAGTACTTTTCAGCTTCCTCTAGTTTTCCCTGGAAGGAATAAAGGAAGCCAATCAATAACATATGCAGCCAATCAGATTGTAAATGCACTTAGAAAAATAGAAACCGAGTACAAGAAGTCCAAATACGTGCTTGAAGAAATAAATCCCTCCCATTGTCTGTAAAAATCCTCCACTTAGATGTATGTGAATTTGATACCACAGATCCATCCTCTATTTTGCGCAAGGCAGTTAAGTTGGCATCTCCTATGTCATTTCCAGTTCCACTATCAGCAGAATCTTCTGCCAAAGCACGGTTACCATTCATCCCAAGAACTATTGCTGTAAACAATTTAAAAAGAAAAAAGATGAAACCTTCCTGTGAGAGGAACTGTTTCTTAGAAAATGTAAGATAACCCCACTATGTTACCTAGAGCAACAAATGGTCACGAGCATCAACTATCAAACAAAGCATCACAAGAATAGACAATTCTAATCATCTGCAAAATAACATATAGTATCTGAAGTATTTGACCATATTATATGCAAACATTTAAGGTATTTTAAATTTTTTTATCAATAACTGTGAATTTTATTAAAACAGAACCTGTAAAAAGTGCATACAATGTTATAATGTAGTCAATGAGACACATGGTAGCCTTGCCACCTATTTCATGACTTTAGAATCAACACCCACTAAAACACCAAAAGCATCTCTAGTAGAAACATGGTAGCCTTTCTGTTAGATAGTGTATGTCCTTAGCTCCAATCAGAATGATGTACATTATGACAATTAATGTAAATGAATAAAGTACATATTTGATTCATGTTATTATGGTGTGTTTCTGTGTAATACCCTTAAACTGGACACATATGAAACTTGTGTTAGTTTAGAATCTTCACAGTCGTAGATTTATCCTGCCAAGGCTGACACTGATGTGCCACCAAGTTGGTTGGGGTGGCTTGTCTCAGCTGCCAGGGTGAGACCTGAGGTACATGCAATGTGGGTTTTCTTGAAACCCTGAACCGGACCAGAATTCCAGTACTGCCCTGGACCTTGGAGATAGATGGGCAAAACTGGAATGTTACACCTGACCCCTAGACTCAATTATGATACTACACTAGGTATCAGATTGGGCTGATATGCCAATCAGTGAGATCTTTAGAGGGGGTCAAAACCTGGGTATGTTGGGACAGTCCGAGAATTCATGAGTGGGTGATCATAGTGACAGGATCAGCCCCTTTGTCGGACAAAGTGAATGATCGGGGATGCACTCTCTCTAATGGAAACCAAAACTGTCGGCATTTGATTTCAACCGTTGAAATTTGTTTTGCAAAATATAATTATATAGAGATATACATATGGTTTCAAAATGTTTGCAAAAGGTTTTAATTCCCGAGATCCATGTGAGTAGAGAGTGCAGCACTGTACCTTGCAGCCGAGGGAGAGGTCATCTCTTGTCGGGCAGTGTTTGATCATTATGGGCTGAGAGGTTAAGTGTAAGACCATTGAAGGTAATACCTGATAGGTTAATCTTGCATCTGCCCACAATCCTTGGGTTTTATAAGGTAGCTTGACCCAGGGACCATTTAGTGTAAATGTTGGGCCCATTAAGAGCCCATGGTGATGGACTCAGGGGTTCACTGTCTCCTACAGTGAATTCGGCCAGGCCTTGTAATAGAAGTTGGGCTGAACCCATGTGGCTGATGTGTAGATCAATGTTTGGGTCCCACGCAATACAAGGATATTCAAATGGGCAGAAGTTTGGAGGACAAGTGAGAACATAGACTTAATGGGCCTAAAGCCCAATTCGAACTGGCTTAATAAGATTAATTAAAAGGGACGATTCTGGGATTTAGATCAGCAAATAGGATAAGGGATTGTCCCTATCCACTCAGAGAGTCCAGATCCAAATAAAGATTTGGATCAGGAAACTCCTAATTAGATTAGGAGGGCTGATCTTTATCTACAGATAAGATAAGGGATTATCCTTATCTCTTAAAGAGAGTCCAGATCCAAATACAAGATTTGGATTAGGAAACTCCTAATGGGATTCGGAGATGCTCTCTTTAAGGCTATAAATAGAGGAGCAGGGCGAACCTCTAGTTCATCCTTCAGTTTACTAATTCAAGAGAGAAGACAGCATATAGTTGGACTGCCTCTGTCTTCTGCTCTTGCTCTCTCCTGCTATTGCCGCCATAACCAGTTCGATTTCCACTGTGGAAGCGATCAAGAAAGGGTTCTTGATATCACCTTTTGGCAGAAAAGGTGATTTGAAGTCATGCTCACTCGCCCTCCATCAGATTCTTGCCGAAGAATCAGGTTCTTGCTGAAGAGCCATCCTGTTGATTCTGCTTCATCCTGCACCGTGTCATCTTCGATGGAAGCAATCTTTGGATTCATCCTTGGGCGTGAACACCTTCATTAGAGGTTACTATTACTTCGTATCAGGTATAACCCTCCACTCCCTTTTGGTTTCAGATCTGGTTCGGTTTAGGTTCAAGATTGATCCTTGAAAATGCAGTTTTCTAAAATAGGGAATGTGATTCCCACATGGAAGAGAGAAATTTTTGAAATTTCACCCAACCTATACAGGGTTCGACCATCCATATGATGGATCTCTCATCCCTTCACTTTCCACCTCAAATAAGGGTATACCAAAGACCCACACCACCATTTTGGCAATTTTCTATAGGAAGTCAAATCAGTCAAACAAAGGGATACCAATAATCCAACTTCCTACAGCATTAACATTTTTGTTTTTCATGCTTCAATATACTAAAAGACTCATTTTTTAGGAGAAAAAAGAAAAAGGAAGTGCAGTTGGAAATCAACAGTGGATAAAGAAGGGAAAGAAAAAGGATCTGTATCGGCAATGAAATCCTGCTTAACTAGAATGGGGAAGAGAAGATAATAGCGTTGCAGATGAAGGATGGAGAAGGGAAGATGGAGGAGCAGATGAAGGTTTTGCACACGAGCTTAGTGGGAAGCATGGTAGGGAAGGAGATGGATGAAAGGGAGTTTGACAACTGGGAAAAACTAGAATGGGGAAGAGAGAAGGTGTTAGGGGTGAGGAAATTGAATGCAGAACTATGGTTGTTCATGCTTTCACTCGAAGGAATTCACAGAGGAGGTTTTGAAAGGGGAACAGATAAAAGAAAGGGTTGTAGACCTGAGGTTGGGCTGGTGATTCCCGGCAGTTGGGGAGTTGGGGGGGAGAGCGAGCTACACGACATGGATTGTTGTAGCAGAGGTCCCACTCCATGCGTGGAGTATTCTTACCTTTGAATAAGTGGCTGCAGCTTGTGGTAGATTCATAAAGTTTGACGATCGTAACAGAACATGGAAAAAGAGGTCGAGAATCCAGCAGATGTACCTAGGAGGTTGGTCCTGGAGTTTGCAGGGAGGAGTATGAGCTAAGGCTGCTGGTAGAAGGGGTTGATGAGACCTATCGTAAATAGGAACTCGAAGCGCAAAGAAAAGAGGAGACCTGAGGAAGAAGTCAGATACTCTGAATCTCAACGCACTGTGGAGGTGAAAACAGAGGAAGGGCAGGAGGAAGGGAGGGAGCCAAAGAGTCGAGAGGGGGAGGAAGGAGAAGCAGTGACGGTGCCAAAGAGTCGAGTGGGGGAGGAGGAAGTTGCTGAGTCAAACTAAGGGTTAAGTGGGAAAGCACATGTGAATGAAGGGGTAGCCAAAGAGGATAAAAAGGAGGGGCAAGTGGATGGAATGGACATGGACCCAAAGTTTGACCAGGATTCTCGAGAAGGGCCAGGAAAGAAGGGGAGAGAGGAACCGGTTATAGCCAGTTGTGTCACTCAAGTGAGAAGGAACAAGGATCACCCCTTCAGCAAGCTCTCGGTTGAGTGTAAAAAGAGGGGAAGGGGCAAAAAGGTCAAAAGCATGAGGGGGTCTTTGGGAATTTCCCTCATGAATTCGAAGACAAGAGAAACTGGTCCAGCTCCTCAAACCAGGAAGAGGAAATCGGCTATCAGTGAGGACTGGATCTGGGTGATAACAAGATACGAAAGGGAACGAGAAGATTGGGGTTTGGGAGGGAGGGAAGGCAAAGTTCCTTCGAACAAACACAGACGGGGGAGAAAAGGAAGAGACCGCTGCTTCACTAGAAAGAGAGAAGTCTCTGGCGTGCAACAATCATACGCCAAAGATAAATAAATGTAACAGAGGTTGCAGCCGTTTTAGAAGTAAGGTAGGAAGAAGTTGGGGTGGAGATTTTAGATGGAGGCAGGACAGAAAACGTGGTGGCAGCCATGAGATTGAGCAATAAAGACTCACCTTCGGTAGGGAAAGAGGTGATTCCAAATAGAGTTGAAGTTGGTTTCAGTCAGCAAGAGGCCAGAGAGCTTAATGAGCTAGGTTTAACCCCTGGAACCCTGTCTGTTTGTGTTTCTCCTTCCAGAACATCTCCCGTCTCTGTTCCACCTTCAATTAGGGGTAGTTCAGGGGCTAAAACCGAAGGGGAAGGGAAGACAGTTTCTGACTCAGGGGTCAGGAAGTCTGGCACAAAAAGAAAAAGAGGGGTGGAGAAGAAAATTAGAGTTTATAATAGGAAGAAAAAAATAAAGAAGTTTGGGGTGAACAAGATGGGAAAGGTTGACACAGGGGAGAAGGTTTCAAGGGGTGAGACAAAACACAATCAGGAAGAAAGAGGAGAGGTGGTAGAGAGGCAGGAGTCATCAGTGGGGAGTAGGAAGGTGGGCATTGACAAGTTGGCAGAAATACAGATAGAGATAGGCAAAACCTTGGGTCTGTCATTCCTGGGAGGAGAAGAGGTGGTGAGAAAGACTACTGATCAGTACGAGAGATCTAGAAGGGAGGAGAAAAAAGGGCTAGTTGGGGAATTGCTGAAGGAGGGGAAGAGGGGGAAGGGTTGCTAGAGAGGAGGAGGGGAGTGGCAGGAATGAAGCTTTTATCTTGGAATGTAAGGGGATTGAGAGACAGGAAGAGGAGAAAGGTGGCCAAGAATCTTCTGACAAAACACAGTCCAGACACTGTATTGCTGCAGGGAACAAAACTGGAATCTTATGTTAGAGTAAGAAGGTGAAGCTGTTATGAAGTTGTATCCCATTTGCAATTTGTTGGAACATCTAGAAGGAGAGGAACATAAGGACTTTTGAGGGCAAAGCTTGCAGCATGGAGAAGATGGTTGCGGCTGTGGGAAGAACAGTGACAGAATGGGTGCTGATTATTCCAGAATTCAGTCATCTATAAAAGGAGGATTTTGGAAATAGATTAGGGGAGGTCCTGGGTCATTAGATATGTAACGTGGAACTTGTTATTTAGTCTGAAAGTTGATCTTGTACTCGGGTGATGACTCATCACCCTCATTTGTAACTTCTTTTCTTTTAATAAAATCTTTTTATTAAAATATTTTAATAAAAATCTAACCTAGGATTATCAATGAGAAGGGAGAGATTCTGTTGCTCTACTCGGGTCCTTTAGGAGTTGGGGACTCCATCAGAGCAGAGCTATTAGCTACTGTACAAGGGGTGCAATTTGCAAACCAGTTGGGGGTACAGCATCTAGTAATTGAAGGAGATTCCAAAGTGGTGGTGGGCTGGTTGAAAAATCCTGAAGATGCTATATGRCGCTACAAGAATGAAAYGAAGAAATTCAGTTGGTTGACAAGGAATATGTTGGTCTCTTTACAGTGGGTGGGGAGATCAGCAAATACCTTGTCAGATGTATTAGCTAAGCAAGGGGTAAACCGGGAAGAATTGTTTTGGGCTCAGCTGTGATTCCTGTATTTCTTTCCTAGTTTACTTGTAAGATTCAAGGAGGGGCTGCAGCTCGCGCCTCTCCCTGGGATGCTATATGAATTCACAACTCTAAATCAGCTTTTGAACTAATAAAATTTACTATTATTCATCAAAAAAAATAAAATCTTTTTATTATCTTATAAAAAAAGACAGTGCTGAAACTTGGAGATCTTACAGGACAGTTCTTCTAATGGACAAAGACACAAGGAAGTCATCCATCAAAAAAAAGGCACAGGGAAGTTGTACTAAAGAAAGGTGCTACTGAATCTAGGATGTAAAAAAAAAAAAATAGAGATGATTAGTCTCTCTTTGAAATGCACAAAACCCAACCCCACAATGAATATGATCCCAATAGGTGACAACTGCTGTCTAGCACTAGAAACACTTTTTAGTATATAGCTTAGTTGAACATTTTATGATTACTGATTGCATAATGTCATCAACGAAGCATCAAAGCATAAAGAATGGAGAACCAGCTACCGGAGATAATACACAAAAGTAAAGAATACCAGCTTGTCCAGAGAGTATAATCCATAAAGCAACATCTCTATTATCCTGCCACCAATTAGAAATTCCAGAAGAATATTGGGAGGAAAATCTCACTTTACCTGAAAAAAATAAACAAATACACATTAAAAGCAAGTTGATTAGACACACAAGCACACAGGTGGGGGAAGATTAATTAGGTTCTTCAGTGACATCTGTGACCCTACGAAAGGTAGAAACCTTTACATACTTTAACATATAAACATTCTAATGCTTAAAAAAGAGACTATGCCTATTTTCCTGACAGAACAGCCAATGAAGGATGCAAAATATCCAGGCAGTTGGACAATCCAGGAACTAAACCCTTTCTTTATAGGTGGTTGGAAATTTGAATTCTTTCAATAATATCTATCATATTTTATGTGCATTGGATGGTGGTTCTTCACTTACAAAAAGTCCATGCCAAAATTCTCAGGATAATCATAACATAGGTGCTACAGCATATGGACTCACTCAACAGGCCTCCACCTCAGAACAACTTGCCCAGAAAAACTATGAGTTGGTTTCTTTCCCATTGTAATATGAAGTTGCGACTCCAAAACTGTACAATTTTGCAACAGAGACATGTTCATTGTTCAATGTCCATCTTCACGTCACAAGGTCTAAAATGTCGGTTTTGGTGAAAATGCCAACAAAGAGAAGATTAGTATTGTAACATTGTAAAAGATTAGAAGATTGTAGATATTAGTCTTTAAAAATATCCATAAATATTTTTTCAAAATTATTAAAGGACATATCCTTTAAATAATTGAATCACTATAAAGTGATAAAAAATTATTACATCATCTAAAATTGTTCCTTATAATAAATTTAAGGATTTGAAAAGCATGGAGAAATAACATATCAAAAATATGGAGAAGAGTATGGGGCAGCAAATTGAATGGAGCAAATACCACTTGGGCGAAAAGGAAAATTTCATAAAACAGTTGTAAGACCAGCAATGTTGTATGGAACATGGTGCTGGGCAGTCAAGAAACATCATGAGTAGAAAAGCTAGAAAATACGGGGTCACAAATGAACTCATTTGAAGGAACTTAGGCGTGGCTCCAATAGGTCATAAAATAAGAAAAAGTGGACTAATAAGATGGTTTGGTCATATGAATAAAAGACTATCTCCATCTGCAGCACGATCCATTACAAGTTGGAGGAGCTAGAAAAAACTATGGACAAACCAAAAAAGGAAAGGAAGGGCTCGTAATTTAACAATGGATATGACACTTAACAAAATCGAATGGCAAAACTGGATTCATGTAACCGACCCCGCTTAGTTGAATGACCATATCAGTTCTTCGATGGAAAAAAAAATGCATTAAAGAAACAATAAAAAACTAACAATTCACCAAAAAAAGTGTCATTTGTAAGGTTAAACGTAGAATAAGAACTGAAAGCGAGAAAAAAAAACATGTAAAAAAGCACTTTCTCAACTCTTCTGGGCTGAATTGTAATTAGAATGATTTGGATAGCTGGGGGGAACTCCCTGGCTCTGTTGTATTCTATCACATTTATTTAACGGACGAATTTTCAGTTGCTGATCATAAAAATAAAGCACTTTCTCGAGGTTTCGTTTTGCCAATATCGATCTCTCTGGACCGAATCAGTGTAGAAAAAAAAAACGGAATGTATCAACATTAGTACCACCCATAAACGCATAGAGAAACCAAAAGTTAAATATTAATAGGGAACTTGATTCCATGTTGACTGCGGCAGAGAAAAAGACAGAGAAGACATACTCGATAGTGGGATGGTTGAAGAGATGGTGATAGTTCTTTCGCAAGTGGTAACGATGGTCTTTGAAGGAAACCGGAACATCCTGAGCAAGTTGCCAGTAACTCGTCGGAGAAACATCTCTGATAAGTGAGAACCAGCCGTAAGTAGAAAAAGAGAATTTGTCCGTGACAGTGTGTGAGCATCAGCGACTGGGGCTTGGGGGTAAAGCAAACGGCACAATACAGAGGGCGTTTGGCTTAGGGGTGTAAATGATCGGATCCGATCCGAAGTCCGACTCTATTTTGTCATATTCGGATATTCCTATTTAGGAATTTCGGATCGGATACGGATCACCCCTATCCGATCTGATATATGTTATTTATATTATATTTTTTGTAAATTTTTATATTATTTATTTTTTTATAGAAAGCATGTATGTATATGATGAAAATAGTTGAAAAATATTATATTTTTGTTTTTTTATTTAAACTTTTCCTTTTAATAATTTATTATTTTTTTTAAATTTAAATGGACCGGATCATATTCGGATATTTGACATGTTGATCGGATTCAAATTCGAATCAGTATTTATGAGATCCAATCATATCTTTGAATCAGATCTATAGTGTATCAGATTGGATTCTAATCCAATCCAATCCGTTTGCATTTCTAAAGGCTACTTGCTTGGGTCTAGTTGGGTTTGGTGACAAAGCGATTAAACCACATTCACCCCTCATTAGTTCATCCAGTTCCAACCTTCAAGTCAGGCTTGTACAATTGCAATGGTTTGTTGGGAGCATTGTATTGGTAGCAAACCCATACCCTATCAGTGCAACTATGCAAATCAGGCAGGTTAAACTGAGTCTATATCACCTACCAACAAAAAACATTCCAACATCCTCCCAACATGATCTAACACCGCACATCTCATGGATGGTAGCTCTTACTTTTATAGCAAGTCCCAATATAAGGTGACTGGCGAGATGTGCGGTGTTAGATCATGTTGGGAGGATATTGGAATGTGTTTCATTTACAAGTGATATGGATGAATTCATATCTACTCTCAACAAACACTCCTAGCACTGTTTCAACAAGCCATTGTAGTTGTACTAAGGAACATCTAATATATATATTAAAGGAAGGTTTTTAGGCTATAGCCCTCCACCACTTAGACACATGGCCTTCTTATTTATTGGAAAGCTATATATGTGACAATTAATGAGAAATTCCTACTAAAGCCCAAATCTACTACTAGGCTACAGCCCCCCCACCATTCAGACATGTGGCCTTCTCATTTTTTTAGAAAGCTAGACACATGGCATTTTCTAACAAGTTGCTACTAAAGCCTACAACCCACTACCACCAGCGACATGTGGCATCCTATTAATTCAATAAATAAGATTCAAAAACTGGGTAGTTTCACTCCCAAACATTCTCAATAGACAGTTATTTATTAGCTTAACACATGTTTATCCATAGTCTATTAAATACAAATGGTGGGACCCATTGAAAGATTACCATAAACACAAGTTTGTTTTTAAATGATTTTTTCAAAAAAAAAATATTAATTACAAACTTGATCTAACTTTTAGGAAGAAACCTAATTTAACTTTAAAAATAAATAACTCAAAATAGATTTATTAGATAAATAATAAATACCAAATAAAGTGTGTTATTGTGTACCAATAAGATCTCATTTAATATCTTAAATCAAATTAAAAAAAACATAAATTAATGGTAGATTTCAAATAAAATAGGTCAAAATAGATTGTCAATTACGAAGATGTAATACCCATATTAGTTTTTTTAATTTAATTATTGATAACTAAATAGTAAACTAAAAATTGATCGTGCATTAAAGTTATATAAATTACCTAAATTTAGTGTAATTAGAAAATCTATTATAACAACAATACTCAGTAATTAAATACTAAATATTAATAAAAATATAAGAAAATAATCATCATCATTACTAAGGCTCTCTACCCCCTGCCATCGCCACTTGCCACCGCCATCTCCAGTTACAGAGATGGCTCCGACAAAGAGCAGTGGCGGTTCTGTCCCAGCAGAGGTGATGACACCCGAACTGGCAGAAGCACAGAAGTAATCATACCCGAACTGATAGAAGCATCGGAGTGAGTGCGCGAAGTGGTTATAAAAGGCTCTCTACCCCCCGAGGACAAGGTATGTGAACTTTGTGCCATTTGGTTTTATCTTGCCTTTGAGAGAATACTGACTTGAGCTTCGGAGCAATCTCACCGGGTTCCTCCCCGGAGACTCCCCACTTTCTTCTCCGTTTCAGGCCCCC